TTTCCACTTTTTCTTACCTTCCAAACCCAAATTCCACATTTCTTGGACAGCCACACTGTCCAGAGAGCAGATGAACGCCCAGAGAAGTCAGTCCTCAGCAGATATAACACCCACACCAAACATTAATATTTTTCACATTTTTAATTTTGCCAAGCAAATATATTCAATTACAACATCACATGTCTTACATTGGAGGTTTTCGTGAAGAAAAGAAGGCGTGCAAAAGCTAAATTAGGAGGTTTAGGTCACCCCTCTCTCAAGCCATACAAATATTAAATGATCAGATTAAGGACGACTAGTTGATTTCAATGGCTACAGACGACACGCTTAGTTTGTTAAGACTTTTATATGAGCTTTTGCCTTTGGGGTCCCTTTGTTTCCCTAGTTTTCTTGTAAACCAACCCAACCTATTTGCAACTTCTATAAAAGACAAGATAATTGGCAAGGATTTGATATATGGGTGAAAGCGATTTCCATTGATTTTGACATCAAGCCAAGCTTTTTTAATTCATTTGCAAATGCAATGCAATGCAAAAAAATCAAAAAGTCTCACTAATTAATTATTTAGGCTCCTTCTGCTTTTTTACTTTTTTTCAATAAAAGATGAAAACAGCATCAGAAAATTCTATGTTCTTTGTTCTAATCCTTTCCTGAAACAAGTGAATATCGTTGAGAATTGTTAAGGACTAAATCATAAAGTAATTTTTGTTCTTAAATTATATTTTGGCTTTTAAAGAAAACATTGGACTTGAACATTAAAAATATCTGAAATCATTACCTAAGCAATGTTTCTCCAAACCAAACCCCCATCAACCTTCCCCAGTCCTCTATTCAGGGATGAAATTGCGGTGAAGAAATCCTAAAAACTTATATACCAGGGTATGTAACAATACAAGATAGTCCCGAATCACACCGCCCCCCCCCCCCCCCCCCCCAAAAAAAAAAAATCATGGATTATGCTTTATTAATATCGACCCATTCAAACATCCCAAAAACTTAATAAAAATCGTCTAAACAGTTATGCAAAGCTTAAGCCTGATAAAAAAATGTCATTATAGAGTAATCTCATTAATGAATTAGGTGCAAACATTTGCTTTTGATCATATATACTCACAATTATGCAACGTTAAATTTAGATATCTTCTATTGACTTAAAATTATTACTCCACATCTGATAAACATTGAGTTTTTTTAAAATTTTTTATTTAAATTAGGTGTCTTAATCTATTTTCTATTAATTTTGAATAAATACTTAATATGATATCAGAACCTAATTTTTATTATTTGATTCCTACTTTATACTCAATCCAAGCACTTGATAATTATGCCTATAGGTGATGTACCCCTTTACTAACAATTGAACTTAGATTGGATGCTTAACATTTATGTTGAATTTGGAGTTTTTGTTTTTCAATTTTCTCATCGCTCTTAAGTAACTATATATGTACTATGTACTACTATTTTCAATAGTATAGAGGATACCTCACTACACATTTATTCTTTTAACAACGAAGATTAATTCGATATAAAGTGTAGGATCTTTAACAAAGCTGGGCAACTTCTTTCACCTACTACACGCTTTACGCAAGGGGTTAGATAATTGGAATTACCAAACCTCTTGACCATTCCTTTTCTCTCTTTTGCTTGTTATAAACCCTTCACTTAAAGCTTTTTTTGCAACCAGAAACTAAAATCAGAAACACAAAAAAAGTATGTCATTTGTAGAAAGTACAAAGAAGTTGCCGGAGAAGCCAGTGACCGGCAATAACCTCCCACTTTTTAACAGTTCCAAAAAAATGGAACTCCAAAAGTACCCCAAAACAGCTAAACCAACAGTCTCTCCTACACTAGCTGAGCTACTGATACGTGTAGATGATGCCCAAAATGATGTCTCTGGTAATAATACTCCGGTTGATCATCGAGTCCCTGAGCTTAGTTATGCTTGTAGCTCACTCCCATCGTCGTATCCATTTGTTCTTTCTTTTAACAACTTAACTTACAGTGTCAAAGTTCGGAAGAAGTTGGCATTGCCGTTTTGTGGGAAGGGCAATATTGAGTCTCATGAGATTAACACCAAAGTATTGTTGAATGATATTTCGGGTGAAGCAAGGGAAGGTGAAATCATGGCTGTTCTTGGTGCAAGTGGGTCTGGTAAATCCACTTTGATTGATGCACTTGCGAACCGGATTGCAAAAGAGAGCTTAAAGGGTTCTTTAACTTTGAATGGTGAGGTTTTGGAGTCAAGACTTTTGAGGGTGATTTCTGCTTATGTTATGCAAGATGATCTTCTGTTTCCTATGCTTACTGTCGAAGAGACGCTCATGTTCTCGGCTGAGTTCAGGCTTCCTCGCTCGCTTTCAAAGAAGAAGAAGAAGGCCAGAGTTCAAGCTTTGATTGATCAACTAGGCCTGAGAAGTGCAGCAAAAACTGTGATTGGAGATGAAGGACATAGAGGTGTCTCTGGAGGTGAACGCAGGCGAGTTTCTATTGGAACCGACATAATTCATGATCCAATTGTCCTGTTTCTTGATGAACCAACTTCGGGGTTGGACTCAACAAGCGCATTCATGGTTGTCAAGGTCTTGCAGCGAATTGCGCAGAGTGGAAGCATTGTGATCATGTCCATTCATCAGCCAAGTTACAGAATTATGAGCTTACTTGACCGTTTGATTTTCCTTTCACATGGACACACTGTGTATAGTGGCTCTCCAGCTAGCCTACCTCATTTCTTTGCTGAATTTGGTCATCCTATTCCGGAGAACGAGAACAGGACTGAGTTCGCTCTTGATTTGATTCGTGAGCACGAAGAAACTCCTGGTGGAACCAAAAGCTTAGTTGAATTCAACAAATCATGGCAAGCTAGAAAGAATTCTAGAAATGGCTTCTCCAGCAAACCAAATCTTTCACTTAAAGATGCAATCAGCGCAAGCATTTCTCGAGGAAAGCTAGTCTCTGGTGCAACAACTGATTCCAATTTAAAATCTTCAGTGCCAACTTTTGCTAATCCAATTTGGATAGAAATGATAGTTATTGCCAAAAGATCGGTTACAAACTCAAGAAGAATGCCTGAATTATTTGGAATTCGCTTGGGTGCAGTTGTTGTCACTGGGATCATCTTAGCTACCATGTTTTGGAAGCTAGACAATTCACCTAAAGGTATCCAAGAACGTTTAGGATTCTTTGCTTTTGCCATGTCCACCACCTTCTACACTTGCGCTGAAGCAATCCCCGTCTTCCTCCAAGAAAGATACATTTTCATGAGGGAAACAGCTTATAATGCTTATCGCCGGTCATCATATGTATTAGCTCACTCTCTAATCTCTATTCCTTCTCTGGTCATCCTCTCCATCTCCTTTGCTGCAATAACCTTTTGGGCAGTAGGCCTTGCTGGTGGCCTTTCCGGGTTCTTTTTTTCTTCTTAACAATCTTTGCTTCGTTTTGGGCTGGAAGCTCTTTTGTGACATTCCTTTCAGGCATCGTTTCCCACGTCATGTTAGGTTTCACTGTCGTTGTGGCCATCTTGGCCTATTTCCTGCTCTTCAGCGGATTCTTCATTTCTCGAGATAGAATACCCTTATATTGGATATGGTTTCACTACATCTCTCTAGTGAAATATCCTTATGAAGGCGTTCTGCAGAATGAATTCGATGATCCAACAAAATGCTTCGTTAGAGGTGTACAAATGTTTGACAACACACCTCTTGGGGCTGTGCCAATTTCAATAAAGTTGAAGCTGTTGCAAAGTATGAGCAGTGTTTTGGGCGTGAACATCACAAGTTCAACCTGTGTGACAACCGGTAGGGATGTTCTGGTGCAGCAGGGTATAACTGATATAAGCAAATGGAACTGCCTGTGGATTATTATTGCCTGGGGATTTTTATTTAGAATTCTATTTTACTTTACGTTGTTGTTGGGAAGCAAGAACAAGAGAAGGTAAATAAGCTGGTAAGAAGATTGTGGCAATCAAGGATTTCAATATTCTTGTTAAACAGTTTAATTATTCTTCATAAAAAAATGTGCTGTAGCTTTTGTGTTTGGCTCATTTGTTGTTAAGTCACAAATATTTGTCATATTTCACGTCGTAAACGTACTTTTTTCCCCCAAGTTTCAATAGTCAAAGGGGATGCTTCTCTGATTTTCTTGAATCCTGATTTTCAAAGGTAGCCAGGCTGGGTTTTAAAGAATATTTGAACGAATTCCACATTAGGGACCTTTTAGACTCATAATTTCATAACCAAAATTTTGGCAATATGTGATTGAAGAGAAACTTTGCCGATCCTTCTGTTCGCAGAGTATATTACTGTACACTAAATACAGAAAAACCAAATTGCCAGTAAGAGACGAATTGGGTGATTCGGGTTGTAGTTTTATGGAAAGAGCTAAGGATTCAATGAAAGAAAAAGATAAACAAAGATATAAACAAATTAAATAATAGAAAATGTAGGGATTGAGGCAGCCTGGGCCCTGGAATTGAACTTTTAGCTTTAGTTAGATGAAATTTCCATCAATTCTTAACCTCCCATTACTATATAGTACTATCGTACTGTCATGGCACCAACTGCAAAAAAAGTTAGAACTAACTGGAGTTAATGACAAAACATGTCATTAATATTCGACCAATATTGTTAGATATAGCCAGAAATATTATCCTTTCTGTATATTTGAACAGGCTAGAGTAAGGAGATATAGTTGCATCCCGATTTCAAGTTGGTGTGGTTTGTTTGCCACCTTCTCCGAAGTTTCTTCCCTTTCCTTCTGCCTTAACTCATAGCTTTGGGGTTTGACTTCAACCTCAAGCTAGCTTTATGAAGTTACATTACTTAGGGTCCATTTGGTAGCCCGCAGTGGGAGCCCTCGGATTAGGCTTTCCATTTCCGTCTCCCAAATGGACATTTAGCCATACAAATTAAAACATTGAAATCTTAAAGATTAAAAAAAAGATCATATGAATTAATTGATACATTTTCTTTAAATTAAAACAGAAAAGAGATTACCAAATTAGATGGTCAATACATTCTTACATGAATTTTTACTTCCTCTTGTTCTTGCTCCCAAACAACAAAGTTAAGTAGAACAGAATCCTAAAGAAAAAGCCCCATGCTATAATAACACAAACGCAGTTCCATTTGTTTAACTCAGTGATTCCTTGTTGCAGTAGTACATCCTTCCCTGTTGTTAAACAGGTTGAACTAGTAATGTTCCTGCCCAAAACATTTCCCATGCTCGCTAATAGATCATTCTTCATCGACGTTGGCAGTGTCCCAAGTGCTGATTGATCAAAGAGTTGTACACCCCGAGCAAAGCATTTTGTTGGATCAAGGAATTCATTTTGTAAAAGAGCTTCATATGGATATTTAACCAAAGACGTATAATGCAGCCATAACCAATATTTCGGTAGTCGATCACGAGAAATAAGGAATCCACATAGGAAAAGAAAGTAGGAGACTATGGCAATGCCAGTAACAAAGGCAAGAAACACATCAGGGATAAGCCCTGAAAGAAATGCTGCAAATGAACTTCCAGCCCAAAACGAGGCAAAGATTGTGAAGAAAAAGAACAAATATCCGGAGACTCCACCAGCAAGGCCAACAGCCCAAAAGGTTATCACAGAAAAAGAGAGGGAGAGGATGTACAATAATGGGATGTGGATTAGAGATCGGGCAAGAACGTACGAAGAACGGCGGTAAGCATTGTAAGCAGTTTCCCTCATGAAAATGTATCGTTCTTGAATGAAAGTAGGGACTTCGGTTATACAGTTAAAGAAGATTGTGGCTATGGAAATAGCTATACATCCTAGTCGCTCTTGTACACCACTGGGGGAATTCTCAAGTTGCCAAAACATGGTGGCTAGAACAATCCCAGTGACCATTATTGTACCTAAGCGGACAGCAAACTTCGCTGGCATTCTTCTTGAATTTGTTAATAACCTTTTGGACAATACCAGCATTTCAATCCAAATTGGATTAGCAAAAGATGGAATTGAAGATGAATCATTGACATAATCACCTGTGGCAGTGGCACCAGAGACTAGCTTTCCTCGAGAAATGCTCCTGCTTATTGCATCTTTAAGTGCAAGATTTGGCCTGTTGGAAACAATATTTTCATTAACATTCGTTAATTCTTGCCAGGACTTGTTGAATTCAACTAAATTTTGGGTACCAGAAGGAGTTCCTTCGAGTTCGAAGATAAAATCGAGAGCAAACTCGGACGGATTTTCGTTTTTAGGAATTGGATGCCCGAAATTACTGAAGAATTGTGGGAGAGTTGCCGGTGAACCACTGTACAATGTTTGTCCATGTGACAATACTATCAAGCGATCGAGTAAGCCCAAAATCCTGGAACTTGGTTGATGAATGGACATGATCACAATGCTTCCAGTCTGTGCAATTTGTTGCAAGACCTTAACAACCGTGAATGCACTGGTTGAGTCTAGCCCAGAAGTTGGTTCATCGAGAAACAAGAGTATTGGATCATGAATTATATCAATTCCAATGGAAACTCGCCTGCGTTCTCCTCCAGAGACACCTCTATGCCCTTCATCTCCAATCACAGTCTTTGCTGCACTTCTCAATCCTAGTTGATCAATCAGAGCTTGCACCCTTTCTTTCTTCTTTGACTTTGAAAGTGAACGAGGAAGCCTGAACTCGGCTGAAAACATGAGAGTCTCTTCTACTGTTAACATTGGAAACAAAAGATCATCCTGCATAACATAAGCAGAAATAACCTTCAAGAGGCTTGAATCCAAAACTTCCCCATTCAAAGTGATTGACCCCTTCAGGCTATGCTTTGCAATCCTGTTTGCAAGTGCATCTATCAGGGTAGATTTACCCGACCCACTTGCACCTAGAATCGCCATGATTTCGCCTTCTCTTGCTTCACCTGAGATATCTTTGAGCAATTTCTTTGTGTTATTTTCTGAGGACACATTTGTGTTCTTCCCAAAAAAGGGGAACCCTGTTTTGGAGCCAACTTTGACATCATAAGATAAGTTGTTGAACGAAAGAACAAATGGGTCCAAAATGGAGGTGGAACTGCTGGCAATGAGAGGGTCTAGGACCTGATGATGTTCTTCTGAGGGGAATTCTTCAATTTCCATTTTTGGTTTTTTGGCCTCTCTCGTCAAAGAATTTAAAACTTTGGCCTGACCTTGTTTAAACGTGTTGCACGGGGAATAGTACTTGAGGTGATTCAGGAGCAAGCTCGGTTTACACTGATCTCATATACGTAGCACATTTGGCTGAAGGATGACTTAACAATTTACAAAGAAATAGTTGACTCTTTTGTAGGTTTTGATGTTTTACATTTATGTGCTATACCTTTCATGGAAATCCCATTCATAACACCAAATTATGCATTACGTAGAAATTTCCGAGCAGCTTCTCTTTTGGTCTTTTACCGTTTTTCTTTTTAAACTCTTTATCTTCCCCTTTCCATCTCACCCCACTTAACCACATGAAATTTCTTGAATGGTTAGTGTTATTTCTGTGGAACAATCAGTTTGGTGTTTGTTCTGAAAATAGCACCACTTTATTTTCAGAAACTTTGAATTGAAAAGAAATTGGCAATCAAGTTTTTAGTTGCTGCCCTCCAAAAATGGTAAAAATTGCTATAAGAAATCAAAATTTGAGTTGAGGATCCTGAGCTGTGTGGAAATTTGGATTAAGACTGCTTTGCTAATGATGGTGTGGCTTCTAGGTGGTGGAACAATTATCAGCTAATAAATTAGCAGGAGAAAGGAAAAATCAAAATCAAAATAATCAAAATAAAGATTTGGGTGATTGGATCCACAAACATAACTTATATTTGTATTGTTTATAACACCATTGCTTGCAAAAAAAACACAAGCTTGTCTTTTAAAAAAGCTTCAATTTCAATTTTTGGTTTCCTTAGCAAATTAAGCTACATATATCAACATATCTTTTATATATATATTTAATTTGGATTTTTCAAACTTCATTAAATTAAAAAAAGGATTTTGTAATGAAATCATACAAGACCACCATGTAACTCTCACAACCAAAATTTCAAAATCTCCAAAATGAAAAAAAGGAGAGATTTGAACTTCAAATAGTTTATTTTACACTGGTATATTTTTCGAGTAGTTCCATCCATGGCTGCACTAGTGGTGGACAGCATTCCCTGACAGGAATTCTGATCACTTCCTCTTGTTCTTGCTCCCAAACCACAAACTCAAAGTAGAATATAATCCTGAAGAAAAGGCCCCATGCTATAATAACCCATATACAGTTCCATCTGTTGATCTCAGTAATCCCCTGCACCTTTAATACATCTAATTTCCCTGTTGTTGTACAGGTTGACTGAGGCTGTAACATTCATGCCCAAAGCTTTTCCCATGCTAGTTAATAGATCATCCTTCACGGATGTTGAGACTTCCGAAAGTGGTGATTGATCAAACATTTGTGCACCCCTGGCAAAGCATTTTGAAGGACGGAATTCATTTTGTCAAAAAGCTTCAGAAGGATATCACTCTTTGCTGCATTTTTCAAGCCTAGCTGATCAATCAAGGCTTGAACCCTTGCTTTCTTCTTTTCTTTCGAAAGTGGGCGAGGAAGCCTGAACTCGGCTGAAAACATGAGTGTCTCTTCCACTGTCAGCATTAGGAACAAGAGATCATCTTGCACAACACAGGCAGATATCACTTTCAACAGGCCTGACTCTAGGACTTCACTGTTCAAAGCGACAGACCCCTTCAGACTATGCTTATCAATCCTGTTTGCAAGAGCATCCATCAGGGTCGATTTGCCCTCCCCACTTGGACCATGTATAGTGCTTCACCTGAGATGTCATTGAGCAAGCTCTTGGCATTATTCTTGGGTGAATTAATCGTGTTCCTTCCACAACATAGGAACCTTGACATCGTGAGTTCTTGAAGGAAAGAACAAATGGGTCTGTTATGGGAATGGAGCTGTTGGCATCGTGAATCTCTAGAACCACATCGTCATCATTTTTTCCTTGGTTTTCCTCCGGATTCGTGAAGACTCATAATGTATAGGATGAGAATTCGGATTCCCAGGGCAGCCCTTCAAGCTCCATTTGCTGATGCCATCTTTGGCCTTTGATCTCTTTAGCTATTTAAAGCATTAAATTTAGCCTCAATTCTTGTCTTCGTTGAACTGTAAATACATTTAAATACAATTTTTTTAATAGTTTTTTAACCTGACAGAATAATTAATTAGACGACACATGTTTTATTTTTTAAAAAATATATGTCATTCCGTTAATTTTATTTGTAAAATTAAAACGATAATTTTTTTAATAAATTTTATTATTTATTTCAAGAATTTCGCATGCCGATGAGTGAAGGGTTATCTTCCAACCTGCAAATAAGCTTATATTGTGTGTGAACATTAGATTTACCGTGATGTTTTAAATGCTTTTAAAAGAATTCCATTAATTTTCAAGCCTTAATAAATTTAAAAAACTAATAAAAAATTAAAAAAGCTTACATTCTTTCTGGACAGTATTGTTTTTGTATTTTTTTCAACTTACCTTTCTAATTTTTTTTTTAAAAAATTCAAATAAAAACCATCAAATTATCCTATTATTTAATTTTTTTCAAAAATAAATTACACGTTAAAAAATCATCCCAATCTAAAAACTACTAAAGCCCAATTTAGGTACGGTTCGGCCCAAGTAATTATGTCTAAGCCCAAGTCCACAGTCAATGGTATTGTTGAATCCTCACCCTTGGATTAAACCAAAAAACATCCTAACCGTATTATATGTATATAAATCTTATATGAAAGTTTTGGGTTTAACCGACGCTACCTGTATTTTTTTCACCTTCCAGGTATGAATGATCAATTTTTTCTCCCTAGCTCTAATTTAGGTTTCCATAACGATTTTATTTGTTTCCCTCTCTTGATTTCATTGATGAAAGCCTCTAAATTTCTTGAATTTTCCCCAATTCAAACGATAACTTGACATACATATTTAGAACAATTAAATTTTAGGGTTTAACGTTGTTTTTCTTGCAGGTTAATGTTCGTGATTGATGTAATTATAATTGGTTGGAATTCGTCAAATGTGATTAAACGATGCCAGGTTTGGTTCTGTTTATGGTTTTCTCTTATTAATTTTTGTATCTACGCTTGCAGTTTCAAAATGCCTTGCTACGGTGATCGTCAGTAGTACTCGTCTGTATGTTGACCGCATCTCCTCAAGAACGCGAGCACATGATCTAGAACGTCTCTTCAGCCGATACGGGAGGTAGTTATGGTTTTCTGAGTTTCAATGCTACGAAAGTTGTTACAAAACTTATCTTCCAGCTGAAATTTGCGGATAAAGTTTATCAGATTTTGGATTACATAATTAATACAGTATATATGAAACATAGTTTGATGTCACCGTCCACAATAACTATATACATGCATTAATATTTATTTAAATTATCCGTAGTATGGGGTTTGGCTATTTTGCAATGTATAGGACATTACAGTAATTACTTCTATGAGTCGGGTCTCTCTTTATCTGTTAATGTAATTTTGAGATGGGGGCATGGTTAGTTGAATTAGCAGTATGGGGGTTTGGTGAGGGCAATGGTCTCTTAATGAGATATAGGGGTGCTTAGGTCTTCACCAAGTTCATTATCTTATCTGTGTGGGAACCACCGGCCCGTAGGTGTTGTGTAGTTTTGACTTGGATGATCTTGTTGAAGGTTTCTGGGCGTTTACCAGACCTGGGGGACTATGGTGTTGGGATCAGCCTTGCTGGAATTGGTGGAAATTCTTGCACTTTGTATAGGACACTTTGGTGATTCTTTCTGTAGTATTCTTCTGCGTTTCAGTGGAAATGGCAACAATCTCAAACCGGTATCTAGTTCATCTATGAGGGGTGAAGTATTATTCACTTGCAGTACTTAAGTAATAATGGCCTTACTGTTTCTGGCAACCATTTCCGCAGAACAGGAGATGTGGATATGAAGATGACTTCGCCTTTGTAGTAAGTGATACTCCCCTCTTTTTATGGGTGTTTTTGTTTGTTTTTTGGCTCACATTCTGTAAACAGGAATTTAGTGATCCCTGAGAGGCTAATGATGCAAGGTATAGTTTGGATGCTTGGGACTTTGATGGAAGTCGTATTATTGTTGAGTTTGCAAAGGGGTTGAGTTTTTATTTACTTATTCTTTTAACATTCTTGAATCGAACTTTTCTGCTAGATTTAAGTTTTTTTGTTATAAATGCCTGCATGAATTTGATCTGTCTTTTTGTTTGATGTTGGTTAGGTACCAACAGGTCCTTGAGAACATCTAGGAGTGATCCCCCTCCTGGATCTGGTGGCTGCTTTAATTGTGGTATTGATGGCCATCAGGCCCGAGATTGTAAACCTGGGGACTGGAAGAACAAATGTTATCGTTGTGAAGAAAGAGATCACATAGAACAAAACTGGAAGAACAGTCCCCGAAAGCTAAAGTAATTTGTTTTCCACTGACTTGCTCGCTATGACAACCTGATTTTATGCCCCCTTCTTTATTTTTGGGTTAAATTACTTGCAAAATTTGATTCCATTCATGCTTGTGTTTTGTTGTTTTATACCTATAGCAGACGTGGGGGTAGTTATTCTCAATCACCAATCAGATCACACTCTCCACGCCATGGCAGAAGCCAGAGTCGAAGTTACAGCTGAGGCCAGAGCTACTCATAAGTTAAATTTTAGCCAATGTGAAGAAAAAAAAAAGAGCCAGTTGTTAGGATCTGTGCAAAAAAGTTTTAACTTTATTAATTCATAAAGGTTTTACCTTTAATCAGTTGTACTTTTTCTGATGAAGTGACAAAATAAAAAGAATTGAAGCATTATATATCATGAATGAGGTTCTTTCAACATGAATAGTTGGTATAGAGAAATGGGAAAATGGATTAACAACTAAAGAAGTGCACATTATTGTAACTGTTATAGTTTTAAGAATTGTCTTCATGTACTGATAATTTGATCTTCTTTCAACTGTTCACTTTTTTATGTTACTCGTTCAAGGTCTCCAGCAAGGAAAGAGTAAAGTTTTGAGCATGGAGATAGATTACAGAGCCCTGAGCCCAAGAACAGCCCTCCTCTCTACAAGGTGAGGAAGCGCAGTCCAACACCTGGTGGAGGCAGTAGTCTGCATAAAACAGGTAGCGCTTCTCCACAAAATGGGAAATTGACTGCTCATGAAGGTAAGGCCAGTTACGGCGGTAGTCCCAGGGGAGTGAGTAGGAGCCCTGCTAGTCCTGATAGAGATGCAAGCCCTGTCAGAAGGCAGTACCAAAGCCCATCTGATGCCCAATGTTGGCAGCTGAAGTCCCAGTCCAAGATACTATAATAGTCCCGTTGATGAATATGATGATCTACTCACACCTCCCATATCATCTGTAATACCACCCCCGATTTATTTCTTTCCAATTCGTCATGTTCTTAAAAACCATATGTGATAAGATTCGTTGACTATGTTATAATTTCTGAAACTTCATTAATTTTGAATCCTGCATCATTTTACAGTGCGCAGTTGTAAAACATGTCGTGCAGATGTATTATGCAAAGCAATTGCACAACCGTGACTCTCCCCCTGAAAGCGATCTTTTCTGGTTTTGTCTCATACTGCTAAATATCTTGTGTACTCTCAGAATCCAAAATTTCAATCTATAAAGCTCATCTCAGTTCGATTTCTAGCTTACAAAATGTCCCACGTCACTGCGCTGCCTCGTTTCGGCATTGTAAGTTCGGCTCACAAGCCTGAACAGAAAGGCCCGAAAGCAACGCCCAAAACAAAGCCAAGCAAAAGCGCCATGGGCTTTGGTGCAGGGAGGAAGGAGATATGGCGGTGCGTGGAAAACTGCGGCGCATGCTGTAAGTTGGCCAAAGGTCCTGCCTTTGCCACGCCTGAAGAAATCTTCAGTGACCCTGCTGATGTGGAGGTTGGCCTCGTTAGGATAACATCTTGCGCACCATTTGTTTGATAAAATGATTGGTACTAGGACCTAATAGAAACAGAAATATTAGCAGCCTGGTTTCAATACCGTCATTGGTAGTTTCGTTTCTAGAGATTAGATTTATCAACCAATAATATCATAAATCTCCGTTTGTAAAGAGATATCATCATAACTTAACAAAAAAATAAATGTTTTCTTGGTATTAGCTTTACAGAAGCTTAATAGGTCCAGATGGATGGTGCGTCTACTATGAGAAAAGCACACGCACTTGCTCCATTTACTCTGGTGAGCCTTTATTATTTGGATTTGTTTATTATCTTTAAGGATATGCCTAGCAGTTTTACCTTCAAATCCTCGTATGCTAAGGGCCTTTCTCTTTCAGATCGTCCATACTTTTGCCGCGTGGAACCTGATATATTCAAGAAGCTATATGGAATTGAGAATAGAAAGTTCAACAAGGAGGCTTGCAGGTCCGACCATGCTCTTTCTCATGCATTAATCTTTAGGAGTTTGGGGCTTTCCGCTCTATGCAAACATTGGTTGGGCAACCATTGTTTGCTTAATGCCTTGTCTAGGTCTTACTTGTTTTGCTTGCAGTTGCTGTAGGGACACCATCAAGGCAATTTATGGGCCCCATTCGAAGGAGTTGGACAACTTCAACCGGTCCACTAAGGATTCTGGTTCCGGTTAAGCTGCCTGAAATTCTCGAGGCCTTTCACCTTCTTCCTTTCCTTCTGTCTTTTCATTAAACCAAGTATAAATTGGTCCGTCTATGAGTCTCTTTTCGACCATCTTCCTCGGCTAACAGTTTGTACGTACTACATTAACAGGCTCAGAGTCCAAACTCTGCTTACCTCTGTTCCTAATTTCCTATTTAAGGAAGAAAAAGTGTATTATAATACACGAGGTTCTCTAGCAAATTGGAGTGGAACTTAAATCCTCGTTTAAAAGGGCTATTATTAGCGTGGCCGCTTTGATGTTTCTGAAAAAAATTGAAAAGGAGAATTAATATCAGAAGAATTGATACAACGATTCTCAATCTTTCTTCCTTTTGATTGGTCAATAAAACTACATTTGCTAGTAAATACCTACAAAAATGAATATTCAGTAGTTTGATAGTGTTGTGAGTTGCATTTGGAAATGCTAAATGCTTTCATTAGAAATCTTCTAAATGGATCAAATTTAATAGTCTTAGGCCTCAAGGAGACTGCATATACTAGATGGATCCAAACCCATTTGGGTTCCTCAACTAAGTTGGAACTTGGAGCCAATATAGTGGGTTGGGTTGTCCTCTCCTTTCTTTTCTTCCTCTTATCTTTATGTGTACAAGGTGAAATTCAGTTCAGGTTCTTGATATGGCCATCCTCCATCAAATAATTTTAGTCATCACATTCCCATTTTAGCCACTCTTTTTTCAACTCGTAATTGATGTACTATTCATACTCTGAGGTCGTTATCAAGAATCAACACAATGAAGGTTAAGAACCAAGAGAATCCTGAATTAAGGAACCCACGATTAATTTTGTAGAATAATTATAATACCAAAACTGAATTCTGCTTAGAAACTGGGGGAAACTTGCTAATTGGATTTTCTGTTAAATATAATTGAGTCTCCTCTTCGTAGACGTGTTGTGGTAACAACACAGGCATGGCGAGAATAAAAGAAAGACACTTTCCTAGCAAGTGGGTTCGCTTTGCAATAAGATGCTCTGACGACCGACCCTGATCTTCCAGAAAAAAAAAAGGCGACTAATTTATCCTCTGCTTTTCCTCCAAAAAACAGATTCGATTCAAGGACGCTTCGTCATGAGGAATCTCCAGACTACCAACAATTTTAAATATAGTTTCATACGTTGGGCAAACTCGAGTGTGTTATTCCGGAACCGCCACTTCTCTTTGTTTTCTTTTCAAAACAAACTGATTGGTCTTACAATCAACCTAGTCCATAGTAGGATTATTCCAAACTGCAATGAACGACTTGAGTTCTGAGATGCGAGAAACGCAAGTCATTGATTATACCTCTTGGTTCAATAACAATTATGGTATTACCGGTGCTCGTGAAGGACCGGCTTCATTGTTTGATATGTGGTATCTGTATCCTGTTTCTGATCCTTAATCTCCTCCGCAAGAGACGGCTTGTCAGGTACAACACGGGCGACAATTTGAATATGATTGCAGGTATTGGCTATCTAAATATGATTCTTGCTGTGGTGGCTACTGGGGAGACGATCTGTTCTCTGGTTGGTACAGCATGGAAGATGATGATGATGATGATGGATGCAATGACCCCATGGTGAAGACAGAAGACCCCCACCAAAGTGAAGAGCAGTATCAAAGTTATATCAGTTATTGTGAGGATGAGTTTAGCCAGCCCGACTCTGATTGTAATCCTTGGTCTTACCATCAGTATTGTGAAGATGAAGATTCTTACAGCTACAACGGAGAAAAACCAAGAACTACATATGGCTATCGCCTGGATGGAGTGCATCTTTGTGAAGGCATCTTTGGTTACTTCCCTTGTTTGCTCCGGGAGCAAAAAGAATACTACAATATGCAGTATGAGCCTATGAACAGCACAGAACCTTTACCAGTAAGCAGAAATCAGTTAACAGTCGAGGGATCTCTGTTTCCAGCATCTTCATACTCCACAACAAAGTGAAGACAAGCCAGTCAGTTCTTTTTCCTTTTCTTTTTCTTGGTATATAAGCCAGGCAATTTCTTAGAAGATCCCTTTTGAATTCAATCATTAGATAAAAAGATTGTTCCTTCAAGTTATCCTTCGTTTTAATATATATTTGTTGCTATGGTATCCAAAATTGCAATAACCTTGAAAGTTGTCACACGCACACACACACACTATGTAATCATTTGTGTAAAATACTCAGCTTCTAATGATTCCATTTTATGTGCTAGTTAACAGCGAAAGGCATCTTTCTTCATTAGCAGTCTTAGGACCTAGAATGTGCCAAAAGGGCCACAAAGCTCAACTATATACATATCTAAGGCCAACTTAGAGTACACAGTTGTTGAAATGAATGTTAAAATTCGCACAATGAAGTGACAGTATGTTTCTTTTCCCTCCACAAGAAGCAAAATTTATGAAAGGTCAACTTACTGTACAGGAGGTAACCAAGTTATTTTATCATATTACATTATCCAGCCCTAGTTCATCCTCAATCTCATCCCCTTCTTCAAACAGTTTTAAGAACCGAGCCTGATCTTGTTGCCTCTTCTTCTTTTGCCAGCATTTATAAGCCACCACCAGTGCAATTATTGTTACAGTTGAAATCAGCACACTAATCAGTATGACTACAGCAACATGCATTCGATCCACATCATCATTCTTTTTAGGGGCTGTATTGGAAGCTACTAACACACGGCAAATAAAAATTTGTCAACATACATTGAAAAGACCTTGTGCATTTGAATTTAAACAGGGATATTACAAACGCAACTGTACACTTGAAAATGGGCGAGCTTAATCATAAAATTTCAGAACAATTGTACAAGAAAGGGAAAACAATCCACATTAATATATGATGAATAAATTGTCTTGTCAACCTTAAATCTTTGCAGGCAATTCCAAGGTCCAGTTGATATGGCAAACCTTAGCCCTTCAAGACCAATTTTATATTTTACTAGTATTTTAGTGTGAAAATTAACTGCAGCCATGATACATTGCTCATTTGGCTCTTTTAATGATACCAAAGGAACTTTGGATTTTCTAGTTAAATGGGGCCAAAGAAGCCAATTTAATTTCAGCAATATTTTAGCTTTTCTTCTAGAATAACTAACCCAAAAATCTAATGTAAGAACATTGACACAAAATGGAATGATTAATATCCATAAAATGTACTGAGATACCAAGCATGCCCTAAACTAGCCTGTTAAAATGGCTTAACAGCTCCTAAGAATAAAATTGGAGACAAAAGGCAAAATCCTTACCAGCTGGAAGAGTTGTGCATTCTGGACAGCGGAAAGTAACATTAAGTTCCTTTTCTTTAAACAATATATATTTCCCATCTGAAGCTTTAAAGTCAGAAGCACAGAACTCCCACTCATCATATACATCATCTGATTTAATGGTGTCCTTCTCGTAGAATCCACACCGCTTGCATTTCTTGCTTTCAAGTTTGGTAAGAGGCTGAAATCACAAAGATTATAATTTTATTGCATACTCTTCACAAATATTGTCATACATGCAAATTTGATGTTGCAGCCGCAACTCGTGAAGGGCTTAATCAAAGTAAAATGTAATGGCACACTTATCTAGAACATCAAGTTATCCAAGTCCAAACTTGTACAAAGCTCACATGGGCAACCTAGTAAATTACTTCATCCGTCTCTCAATGTAGCAGAATCATACGGAGCTAAGTTTAACCAAGTCCCTAAAAACGCATTGGTTCAGCAGTCAGCATGCATAATATTAGCATCTACATTAGGTCAGCATCCATACAAAAGAGAAAATTTAAAGATCATAACTTTCGCTAAGTTTCCATTAGCAAAAAAGGAGGGTATCATGTCGCTATACAATAAAATTCCCTAAAAACCACCCAAAAAGAAGAAAAACACTACACAGAACACCAAAAGGCCCGTTTTTTCAGCTACCGGGATTGCATATTTCATAAAAATAGGCATAATTGAAGTTTTAATATCAATTCTCTACTAATTACATGATAATGAAAAAGTTGTGAAACATCGAGTACTGATTTTTATTTTATCAATTCATTTTACACCAGCAGACGGTATCAAAAAGATAAAAAAAGATTGAAAATCAGGGTGAATTATTTAAAAACCTGCCAAGATTCTTCACCCTTGAAAGAATAGACGAAGCCTGTTTTGGTAACATCTGGCAACACCGTCCTGTTCTCTCCCTTGCAGACGAAATAAACCGTCGGGTTTAATATCCACTCGTGCTTGTTAAATATTTCAATTGAATCCAATGTAACAACTGCCGATGAAATTAATCCTAAGAAAAAAAATTATAGAAAAGATTGCATCTTAATTTCAAATTTCCAGCTCAAAAACCTGAAGTTAATCCCAAAAAAAGAAAAAGGAGAATTAAGAAAGTCGACGTATTAAAAGCATGTCAACATCAAAACTATTACATATGTTCCGTTTGTTTTTTTTTTCTCGGGAAAGTTAGTTTACCTGAAAAACAGCTGAAAAAGATCCACCAAATGAGAAAACGGAAGAAAATTCTAGAATTTAGCCGGTGACGAATCAACATAGCGAGCTAAAACAAAATCAAATTTTCGAGCAAACAATTAATCAGAGAAATCAGGAACAGTGCGCACTGCGCGCCTTTCCTTCCTCTGGTTTTCTGTTTTATTTAATCTTTGGTCAACGAACGAATAAAGAAAATTATGACAAAAATAGCGGTTTCGAAAGTTATCTTTTTCGTGGAGAGGGCAGAAGAACGAAAAAAAGAGCGGTTGCTGACCGGTTCGCACTGCGGGAAATTGGAGGCGTAGCGTCATTGGTTGGCGGGGTGCGCAATTACCACTCTGCTTTTAAGATCTCGCCACGTCATAGGAGAAAAGGAGTATTAGTTACGTGGCGAGATCGGAAGTGATTGGGTTCGGGTAGGGTAATCTCAATTTGGTTTGAAGAATTAGTCAAAAGTTTTTTTCAAGGAAAGAGCCAATGAGCTAGCGTTGATATTTTTACCGATAGTCAACCGGAAATATCTCCTCCGGGCATGATCGAACGGTTTTAGTCTTATTTATCTTGACCTTAGTTTGAAGTAAAATCATTCCAATCTTCTTTCTGCTTGGCGTTCGCCGCTTCTCTCGCCTCAAGAGAGGGCCGCGTCACTCAAAAATGGCAACGAGGATTAATTTGTTTGCACAATCCCTCCCTGCCTTGATCATCTTCTCCCTTCTTTTCATCGCCGTCTCCGCTAACGTGGTTCCTCAACAAAATCCCATGCCAATAAACAACTATTATAACAATAATGTCAATGCAAATCCAAAACCAACCACAAACGACGACGTCGACGAACGTTGTTTCGGGACAGAGAGAGGATGATAAATTTCTCACCGATTTTGTTTCTGCCCACAACTCGGTAAGACTCCCCATCGTACATTCACCCTTAACATGGAACTATACCCTTGCCTACTACGCTAAACAGTGGGCTCTAAAGAATGTAAGTGATTGCAACTTGATCCATTCTTATTGCCCTTATGGAGAGAACCTGTTTTGGGGTGGCAGAATCAATTGGAGCCCTAGCGCGGTGGTCAAATCCTGGGCTGACGAGATGACTTTTTATGATCCAAAGTCAAACACTTGTGCTCTGGGCGAAATGTGCGGACATTACACCCAGATTGTCTGGAAAGATACGGTCAGCGTAGGTGGTGTTCGTGTTATATGTTATAATAATAAAGGCATGTACGTCATTTGTAACTATGATCCACTGGGCAATTATATCAATGAAGGCCCATTTGGTAACTTGGCTAATGGTGGCAATTTGTTGAAGAATTGACTGCCACCCTTGCAGAAACCATCCTTGCCATAACCGCCTTCAAAGAAAAGCTTCCCGTCAATGGATAATATTCTGGGAGTTCAAACTGAATTGATCATGGCTGGGCTAAAGCGGCTTGCAGGGGAATAACATGGCAAGACGTGTGGTCTTTACTTGTCTGTTGCATTAAAAGTTTATACTTTAGTTATACTGCTAGACGGTTGTTAATTGTTGGGTTTCCAGTTTCATCCGGGGATATCTGAGAGCCGAATGCAAATTACTGTACTGGTTTTTTGGCTATTTAATATTAACAACTTAACATGAGTGGAAATTGACAATTAATGCGACTCTGTTCTATGATTGTCTGCGCCACTTTGCATGCATGGATTTGGTTTTTGTAGTTTGGTTTTAATCCTGATTGCAATATCAATATCTCTAAAATGTCAAAGAAAGAGAGAACATAATGACATGATTTCACAGCAACCCTGACCCACTATAATCTTCAGGATTCAATCTGGCTTTCATGCATCTGAAATTGATAATTGCAAAAAGCAAAGATAAATTCCTATATTTATATTTTTTTTACAATTTCTCATTGCAAAAAGAAAAAAAAGATGAAACTATGGAAACCTTCAATCTGAAGAAAACACCTTTGTTTCCAACTGGTATGCTTTAGTGAAGAAGGCGGGCCAACAAAGGTATGTTGACGTGATGCTGCTCACGGTAGTGGCACCAATTAGCATATTCATCACAACAATCTGCAGTTGAATAGCCTCTAGGGGAGAAGCGCCTCCCATTATGAGGCCTGTCATCGCCCCTGGAAGTGAGATAAGACCCACTGTTTTGGCATTGTCCAACACAGGAGAGAGTGCAATAACTAAAGCTCTCTTCACTTGTTCTAGAGTTGCTTGACGCGGAGTTGCCCCAAGAGCCAAAGCGGTCTCTACCTGTAAAGTAATAGCAAAGCCATATGAAGTCAATAGCAGAGTTGCAAAATTTCAGAATGAGGGCTTGTAGACATAGAAAATGTTTTTTAAACACGGATGTTTAGAAGGACTTATCAATCAATCAGAGGGAGATTCCAAAAGGACCAAAGTGCAGGGTTTTAAGACCAAGAAGCTTTTGTTCATATTCAGGGTGTTAGCAATAGTAGTAGTATCATGAAAGATTCGAAATTCTTGAGCATGAATTCGGAAACTCAGGTAATTTTCCTACAAGAGAGAAACAACATTGCAGAAATGTCTAGTTCCTCCCAACTTCATAAAACCATTGAAAGGTATTTGCTATATTGGAACTTACCAGGTTCATTTGTATCTTGATATCATCTCGAAGTCTTTTCATTGTAACTCCAGTCACTGCCATTGCATTTCCAACCATCATTCCTGCAACAGGGATAATATATCTCGGAGTGAAAGGGAAAACATTTAGTACAACTATAAGAAACATGGTCACTGCTGTTCCAGCCAGGATAGACATTCCAGCAACATACTTCCCGCGGGGCACATGTTTAGCACGTTGGTCAGCTGTATATCCAGCAACAGAAACCTGCAATCCATGTTTCCAACCACCCATTATTTGTGCACTACTAAGAATGAATGACAAATTGTGAGGAAATTGTCCAATCATTCTGGTGAAACTCAGAGGCAATCAAGAGAATTGATAACCAAGATCCATTTAAATTCAGACATGTCCTAAAGTTGAAAATTGAAGAAAAGTAAGGAAGGGTATATATATTATGAAATAGTTATTGTAATATTTTTCTTCAACTAGGTTGTAGATGATTCTGTAGAAGCATAAAATCTCTGTACCAAAATGGAACATGAGACTTAACCCAATTGGTTTAGGTATTAGAAGTGACAATATAGCAAGTCTGGCAATTTAACTCTCAACATCTACTATCCCTTCCTTACTCATAGGGTTATGGCCTCGTTGTACAAAAATAAGTACATCAGATATGTTTTTAAGTTTTAACACTCCATAAGCATACTATTTGTAGTAATATATCTTTGTGTTACAAGTCTAATTATTGGGAAGAATCTAAAAAAGTGGCAGCCAGAAAACCAAGAATATAACCGAATGAAAATTCTACTTCATGTGGACAACAAAGTCAAAAAAGAGAAAACCAACACCAAAAGAAACATTAATTTAAAGATAAAAGTGTTATCCAAATTAGTTAAATAAAAAAAAAAAGAAGAGAAAAGTTAAAAAGACAAACCATGAAAAGATAAGCGAGGACGATCCACGCACTGTTCTCCTGATTAAAAATGAACTGAAGGACAAACCCAATAATGGAAAGCTGAAAAAAAGCTCTTAAAATAGAATAAATTATCTCTTTTTCCAAACCCAGCTTTTGCATGAAAGACAAGAGCACCGCCATGAGAACCACCGCAAGGGCAGCCACTGGCTTGAGCATCCCCTTTAGGAACTCAAATAACCAATCCCAATCCATTGAAAGTTGATCCTGTGTCTGAAAATCCACCAAGTTGATGTTAATGAAACAGTAGCTAGCTTTTCGGTTTATCTGGTTGAAGAAGAAGGAAGAAGCTACCTTCCCCTAATGGGAAAGCTTGTCTGATGAGACATCTCGTGGCGTTACTATTCCAGCAGGTTGTCAAAACCGCTAGTCAAAGATGATTCTATAAATGATAATGATTTTTTAATTTTTTAAGGTTTTCTTTCTTTTCCTTTTTATATGCTTTGGCGCAAATAATGGAACGTACGTACGATTGATACGAAACGAGGACGGTTTGTCCCCACTTCAACTTGTTAGTGGGTTGTTTTGAATTTTTATATTCCAAATTTCCAATACATTACAGCAACTGATTTTATAAAATACAAAATATCTTTTTAACTATTGGAATGAATATAATAAAACCATCAAGGAACAAAAGTATAATCATTTGTGAAAATTTGTGTTTTCATATATGTCTATGTAAAATTCATATATCTATATTTTTAATAAAATATTAAAATTATTTTATTAAAATTCATATAGATAAATTAAATATGAAATATTTTTTATAAAAAATATTTTTTTTATTAAACTCATAAATTTTTTTAAAAATTTTAAATTATATTATATTTTTATATTATTTTTATATTATGTTACTCTATCATATATAAAATTATTAAATTTAAACAAAAGGCATATATAATGAAAATGATAATGTCCAAAGAACTATTATGGTTAAAATAACCAAAAAAAAACTTAACTTTTATTAAATTACTTCGATAAATTTTTATATTTTTATTGTATTTAAATAAATTATTGATTTTTAATTTACACTCAAATAAAATTTTAACTTTTAATTTATATTTAAATAGATCTTTAATTTTTAATTTATATCTAAATAAAATTTTAATATAAATTAAATTTTTATTTAAAATAATAATTTATTTAATTATAAATAAAAAAATAAATATTTATTTTGATACAATAAAAATATAACAATTTATTTAAAAAAATAATAATTCAAAGATTTTTTTAATATTTTAATCAACTATTAATATATTCTTAAAATTTTATTAGATTCTTAACTATTGCTACAATAAACGTGATAACAGATCTAAATGCCTTGTCTTGAAACTTACGACACTTATCCAAAGAAACAAAACATTAAGATAATGGTATAGCCCCTAGGTTTATTTGAGAGCAAGTGTAGCTCAATTCTCACCTGGCAAGATGAAACTAGTGTCGTCTGATCATAGTCTTCGCTCCTGGCCGCAACCAATGCTTTAAAAAAAATAAATAAAGCATGGAGGAATTGTTTTTATGCTTTATTTTTTTTATTTAACTGCAAAGGATTTTTTAATTTCGTTTACTACATTTGCCTTTCAGATTTATTTAAATAAATTTATTTCGTTAAATTTAATAAATTTATAAAAATTATCTTTTTCATAAATTTTTAACAGATTTATAGACAAGCAACAAAAAAAAAAAAATTTTATCATTTGGACTAACTACCCATTAGTAGGGAAGAATATTTGGTTGTAATGGATAATGTGATTGAAATTAATGAATCTATTCCACATAAAAAGAATATTATAATTTGGGAATCAATAAACAGCTGGGTAGAAAATGAAAAAAAAAAAAAAAAAGGCCAAAATGACTTGGAAGTGATGTAAATGGTTGTGTGATTTTATGGCTTATTCGGAAAAGCTTAGAGAAATAGTTTTCATTGAAATTCCTTTGGGATTGAAAAAAAAACATATAGATAAGAGATGCCATGCATGTTTTTACTATGGCACAGGCGACTGAAACACAATCTGAACTTGGAATAAACAGAAAATTAAATTTAAATTTTCTCATTTAAAATAGTCAAGTATTAAGTGGAGCTTAAACTCTTAAAGAGCTTATCATATTTAAAAATAGCTACTGACTTAAGTTTTTAAAAGTGAAGGATATATACTTGCTTATCATATTTAAAAATGGTTACTGACTTAGGTTTTTAAGAGTGAAAGATGCATGCTTATTTATAAAGTATTTCTTACCTATATTGATTTTTCAAATTATGAGCGATAGGAATACTTTAAACAAGGCACTCTTTCCTAATTTGTCTATTTAAAAAGAATTTTTATAATTTGCATCGGTTTCAGATAAAAAGGTTGTAAATAATTTTTTTTATAATTTGTTTATTGTTTATTTTTAAGTAAATTTATATTTATATTTACAATAATCTACAACAAGTGTGTTTTAATATACTAATATTATATTATAATTAAAATGTTATGAAATATTTAATCACAAAATAAGCACGTTAGAAAGAATAAAATTAAAATCTAGACAATTTCATTATTTAACTTATATTTTTGTTACATTAAATCCAATGTGAAATCAACAAGACTAAGGGATTTAATTTTGTGGCATTAACACTCTAGTATGCGTGTCAAAAGGTGCTTTACTAATAGTAAACAATGCTTTGTGCTCTTATTAAGAAGCAGGATTTGATAAAATGAATTTAAAATTTAAAAAGAAAAACAAAAAATTTTGAAAAAAAAAAATGAAATCATCATAAGTCATAAACCAATAAAATCTATGATAAGACATGAAAGCAGTAGAACTGAAAGCTCCCTGCCTGTCTTAGTTTATTATCTGGATAAACTAATACTATGTTTAATTTATTTGACCTATTTTTAAAAAAAGATTTTATTAAAGTAGCAAGTGATGTTATTCTGCACAATGTCATTTATTGTTTTTACTTTTTAATTGCAAGCTTTATTTAGAGTTGCAAGCTTTTGTTATTCTCATTTCCTTGAATATCTATTGTTTTTCATCTAATTATATTTTTTATTTTAAAATTTTCAATGGCTCGTTCTGGCTCTACGATAACTTTGTGAAGCATTTACGATCCATAGGATTTGAACTAGATAATTATAGCATAAATAAATATGACAGTGTAAATGCAATACTCATTTATATTACTTTAATTATGCAAAATTATCTTATTTTACCAAAAGCTGCTCCAATTTAATAACGATAATTATTTACTTGTTTAAAAGTTGAGGACATCATTAAAAAAAATAAAAATAAATTACCTTTTTTTAACGGCCAATGGTAAAAAATAGGCATGTTTTCTTTCAAGCATTATATATATATATATATGCTAAAATTATAAGGATAGTAATAATATTTATTTTTAAAAATAAATTATTTTTTGGTTAAATTTTTTTATAATTTAATTATTTATGCTATAATGTCAGTAAAAAGATTATTTTCATTAGAAATATAAATATATTTATTATTTATTATTTTATATTATACATTTTGAATTATATATATTTTATTTGTATTTTAAAATATTAATGTATAATACTTATTAAATCATATATAAAGTTTAGTTTATTATAAAAATTATTATAATAAATTCATAAATAAATATGTTCTTAAAATATTATGATGATTTTTGTTAATTTTGTATAAAAATATCTTTAATTTAATTTGAGCTCTCATAAATACATCATTTGTGCTGAATTTAGTCAATATTTTTATAATGTTTAGAAGATGTGTTTAGACAAAATTTACAAAATTTATTCTTTAAGATATTACACTTTTAAATATATAATTAATTATATTATTTACTAAGAAAAACTTCTTACATATTATTTTTGTGGAAACAAAAAATAATAATTATCCTCCAACATATCAATGAAAAGTGCGAAATTTGTGACGTTGCATAAGATGAATTTAATGATTTTTTTAATTTGTTAAAAAATCAGACTCCACCAATAGCGTAAGTAATTAAACAATTTTTTTCTATAATTTTTTTTCGTTATTAAACTTGAATTCATTGTAATTTTTTTTCAAATACTATAGCATGATTGTGTTGAAGCATCCATGGATGAGAAAATAATAAGTACCACAAAATTATATTATTTGTGAATGCATATGCTTAAATTAATTTTTTATGCATGTATGTTGCACGCTATTAATTAATGCATTTATATTATAATTATAATATAAAAATAAATGTTTATAAGAAAGAATATATAAATGAAGCTATCTTTATATTTTTTTAAAATTTCAAATGATTAAAGGGATTAGAAGTATTGTCACATGTCTCTAAAGTTGGTATTTTAATTCCTTTAAGAGACATGACTCTATTAATCTTTTCGGTAAATTGTGAGGTCTCCAATAATTTGAGCTTATCCTCAAATGTTGTTGATTTCATTTTCAGTTCTTTCTCCATTTATCTAAGCTTCCAAATTTTTGTTTGATTAGGGTTGATGGTTTGTTTGTTTTGACTTTTGGGTTATGCCATATGTAAAATTGTGGCTGAGATAATAAGGAGTTGGATTGGTGTGTTCCCTGACAACAACTTCTTGATTTGATGTGACTAAGTCTAGGACTTTGGTGACAACAACTTCTTGATCTGATGTGACCAAGTTTGGAATTTGGGGATTTGTGACGGGTTATAGTTTATAGCATGTGTTTAAGGGCTTGTATTTGTTGGATTAGGGCTTGAAATTTCTCTATGGTTGGTTTCGCCTGTGGTTGAGTTGGATGGATAGAATGCTAGCTTTGGTGAGTTTCTATTTCTGCTGGAATGGGTGCTCTCCTTCCTCTTGGATTCTTTTTTTTTTTTAGCATTGTTTTGTACTTGCCTGATATGAAAATGCTAGTCTTTTACCTGGCACACCAAATGTTAGTGCCGAGTTTCGACCTGAGAATATTTTCTATAAATGCTGAAGAAAATGACAGTTAAAGACAAAGGCAGAGGGTTTCCTGCGTTTGCATTTCGATGTGCAAAAATCAGGTCAAAAAGAAAGTGAAAAAGTAGGAATCAGAGAAAGATATAGATTAAATGAACTTATCTTCATGCTGCTTGAGTTTCTATATTTATAGGTAAGTTAAGGGAGACAAAAAGATGACAACTAGGATAGGACTGAGCTGAAATGGTAGTCGATGCAAATAATCAAGATATCCTTAATTGTTTGTTGGAGACTAAAAGAGGGAAAAACATCACTATGCCCTTTTGATCATTATATGCCCATTATAGGTAGTTTCATTGGATATATCAGATTGATAATTCGGATGGGGATATTGTTACACTATATAATGGTGAAACTATAAGTCATAGATTCGTGATTTTATGCTTGTCAATATTTAGTTGAATTTTGAATGTTTTATATTTTGGAGAATTTGTGTTTGTTATTATGCTGTTCATTAGCTCTATGCTCAACAAATTTTGTTAACTGAGCTTAATATGAGGTGTTATTCATAGGATTACAACATGATATTATTATCTACATGATATAAAAATAGTTGGCTAGTTTTAAATAGATTTTGACTTTTTGAAAAAAAATTATAGTTTTCTTGCCGACCAAAATATTTTTTTGGTATTTTACAATAATGTAGTGGTGTAGTGATTGTGGCATCTAGGATTATCTTTATAAAACAAATTTTTATTTATTGCATGCAATTTTCGTATAAAATATAAAATAAAGATATAAATTTTAATATTTTACATAACACAAATCATAGGTCTACCATAAGGTTTATATTTTTATTTGGACTTGTCTTCATTTTAAGATAAGTCATTTAAGATTTTAGGTATAGCTCCTAACTTAATCATTTCAGAGCCTTTACATATACTTTCCATAATTGGATATAAACAATATCCATAAGTTTTCAGCTAAAAATATTTTTATATTTTCAAGACTTTGGGCTTACTGCTCTAACGATGTTTTAAAAATTTTCAGGTGGTATTACAAGGGCTCCCTCGAACTGCACTCTTAGAGGATGTGGAGCCTTTCCTTTCTGGTTGTAACCATGATTCGTCCTCGATTCAGACAATTACATTTACAAAACTAAGATCCACCAACCTTGTCAGATTGACAACCGTTCAATTTCCTCACAAATCCAAGCAATGAATACATACATTAAGAAAAACAGAAACCTCTGTCTCATTTGTCAAGTCTCAGTACGAGTTCTCTACTAAAAGTTCAGAAAGCTCAGTCTATTTGGGGTATCGCTTTTAGATTGATCATGATGGTAGACTTCATGGCTCCAAATTGAACTATGTGAAAAATTTACCTGTTTGCTAATTATGAGACGCGTTGGAGCTATATATTTGAGTGGATAAGTGCTGGCGGTATTAGATTTTAATAAGTTGATTAATGAAACCATATTAATAGGAAGTAATGAAAGATTGCAGCTTATCTCGTTTCGTTGGTTCTCATTATCTTTGTTTCTTGATGGGGATTCTTTCTTGTGATACCATCGTCATATCATAATTGCTATTTTAGTTATTTATATTATATCCTAATAGCAAAGTTAATACTTATACTGCTTCAGCATTTTAAGTTGTTTTATTTTGATGGTAAATTTGGGAGGGAAGTTAGGACCTGCGTTAGTCCGGATAAATCAGTAGGGTTAATAGGTTATATCCCGGATGCATGTGATTTTTAATATTTTGATTTCACAGCTTGATGTATACTTAAGAAGAATTGGTAATGTTTTATGTTCAATTCGATAAATACCCATAACAATCTCGTTCATCATTTAAAATCTTGATCTAGCTACAATTTGATCAAATATAATTTCCAACACCTTGTCTCATAGACTGTATGGTTAAAATGTATCCTTCCTGCTTTATTCTGCCAAAAACAATCTCAACAAGAAGCCCCACCCCCGCCCCCCCCAAGAAAAAAAAAAATTGCTTAGATGCCAGAAATTGACTTGTTGGATTTGTTGGATGTCAAAGCTCGCTATGGATCACGGAAACCATCTCTGTATTATGTTCAAATTCGTCAAGTTGCTGATTTTATCACCTAGCTGTTGATCACTCTCTTGCCCTGAGATTCAAGTGCAAATTTCACCATTCTTATTGCTTAGACGCCAGAAATTGATTCTAACTGCTGCAAGCCAGTGATGAATATCGTCATTTCCATGCGGTTCTATCCGCAAAGATGAGTACGTCTTGAAAGACTTGACTAAGTATCCTCATCAGAGCTCTGTACACTAGAAAAGACAATCATGAGTTCATGAGTCATGACCCTTTGCATCATATTGCATAATCCTCTGGCAACAAAATAAGAGACTAATCTTAAGTAGTGAAAAGCCAGAAAACCAGAATTGAATGATGCTTATATCAACATCCTGATTTCGATACAGAACCTAAATTGTTGAACAGAAAGCATCATCAACCTCTTCCTTGTGTATTTCTGTCGCATAATCTAACATTCTCATATGATCTACCAAGCAACTCACCAAGAATATCAATTACCTTAGTATTTGACTTGTCTTCTGCTCTAAACCTATAAACTTCATTCTTAACCTCAATCCAGCTGTATCCAGGATTCAATTTCAGTCCTTTATCTTTCATCAGGTTACGTACTCTGGCTGCCTGATCCCATTGCCTTGCAGTAGCATATAAATGCGCCAACTGAACATGGGTAGCAGCACAACCAGGTTCTAACATTAGCCTCCTCTCCGCAGCCTCTATCCCAATCCAAATGCTCCCATGAAGTCTGCAAGACGAAAGCAAAGAACCCCATATAACAGCATTGGGACAAATCGGCATCTTTAAAATAAAATCTCGAGCCTCCTCTAATAATCCAGCACGGCCAAGAAGATCAACAACACGAATAATGATCCAGTGCCGGCTCAAAATCAAGTACAACCATTGAATCAAAATAAACACGACCTTGTTCAACAAGACCTGCGTGACAACATGAGGAGAGCACTCCAAGAAAAGCAATAGCATCTGGTTTTATCTTCTCCTTCATCTTTTCAAAAAGATCAATAGCCTCCATTGCAAGGCCATGTTGAGCATATCCTGCGATCATTGAATTCCAAGATACAGTATCTTTATTATCGTCCATCTTCTTAAATATAAACAATGCATCTTCAACACTCCACATTGACAATACATAGAAATTAGAGTATTACAAATATAATTATACGAATCGAAACCCATTTGAATAACTTGACAATGAGCACTTCTCCCTTGCCCCAAAGCTCCACTACCCGTACAAGCTCTCAAAAGACTTGTCAATGTGAAATCATTTGGCTTTAAAGTCAAATTATTCATCATATTATATAGCTCCAAACAGTAATCAATCTGCCATCCATGTACGAATCCAGCACTTATAGTAGTCCAAGAAACTTCAGTTTTAACAGGCATTTCTTCAAACACTTTATAACCCTTCTCCAACTCGCCGCTTTTTCGGTAGAAAGTAACCAAAGAACTTCCACATAAACGTTTGGGAAAAACCCATTTTTTATTGCTAAACAATGATACTGAATTAGGTTACGTCTTGACCCACATGAACTTATAGCATTTGACAGAACAATTGGATTAAATTTTGAATCTTCTTTGTTTATATCAGGAGGCTCTAGAATTTCGTTGAAAAAAATTGGGAGATTAACCGTTGGTGAATCTGAATAAGCAAATTTAATGAAAAAAATTTAGGCAGTAAATTGATCAGAATCTGTTTGTAAAAAGTCTTGAATGAGACGTAGATTGTTTTGGCAGGAAGAGGAAGGAGTTGGTTTGGGGTATATGATGTCCCTGATTCTCAATGCCTTGTTTAGTTTCTTGCTTGGAGGATTCAGTTTTAGTCTGTGAGAAGAGAAAGGACTAGATTGAGATAGACAGAAGAGAACAGGTTTCAAAGTGAAGCAAGAATTCCTTTGGATAACTGATTTACGTAGAAGCACATTCATGGTTGAGAGCAACCCATGAATGTATGCAGCTTCAACAACTGAAGTGTAAAAACGTGGGTCTTTAGTTGTTAAGTAGTACTACTTCCTGGAACCTCAATCCCAACCGAGTTACAGGATTGAAACAAGAATCTTTTCTACACGTGTGGCGTTTGCTGTTTTTTTCATTTTACTTTAAAAAAAAAGAAAAAGAAAAGAGCTTTATGAATCTTCAATGATTGTAAAATCGGATCCCAACTTCATACCAAAGCATTTCATTATGGCAATACCATAATATTTGTTAGGGACTACACCAGTCATCATCCATACTAAAGAATGGTGAACTAAAGCCAAAATCATTGCCTTGATTGAGAAAAAAAATGGACTCGTAATCAATCCATTAACACTCTCATCCAGAACACTTTCGATTCGAATGTTCATCGTTGCATTGCTCATTTTAAGAACCAGAATCAAAGCCAATTCTTCTCTTAGCTTTTTTCCGACCTTATTTTGTTCTTACTTTTACTTCCCACATCCACATCAGTTTTTGATGCACTTCCTCCAGCTCCAATTTTTCATTTTCCTTCATTTCATGTTCTTGTGCCTTCACTTGACTGGGAAATTGGATGCATTTGAAGAACTCAAATAAGAGTTCCATGGAGGCGCTTGCTTCAAAATGAAAACTCTATCAAGCTCCATGGAAATTGGTCACCAGTCCCTGCGATTTAGCAGCCCTGAAAATTGGTTTTTATAACAACTTGAAGTGAAGAAAATTGCGTTGGGAGTGTTGAAAGGATGCAGACAAAGTATTTCTATTTTATTATAGTTAATAACTGTCAAAATAAGTTCACACCGACCTCAACAACATAAATAACAGATAACAAAGACATAAGATATTAACAAAGAATGTCCTTACCCTTGACATCATTGCCTTCTCGCTAGTTCTATATGTCTGATACATTGTACACTCATAGCCGCAATGATTCAAAAATTGTTTTCATGTTAAAAATGGAGTATTATTTTTAGTTAGGTTGAAGTCATCATCAAATTTAACTTCCAGTACCAAGCCGATCAGAATTTTCTCTCAAAGGTATAATGCATGAATGAAATGGATAACGGACTTGCAAACTGTTCCAAGGAAGCCATCAAAGCAAATTCTACTAATGCAGGAGTCGAACTCTGCTGTGAAACCTTGAGTTCAAATTTTCAAACTACACTGCCATGGAAAAAGTTGAGATAGCAAGCCTAAAAACATGTTATAGTACCACTTGTCACTCGCATAAAAATTTTCCTTACAACGATCATATAACAATGTACTTAATAAGAACTGACTTCAAGTAATGACTAAAACTAAGACTAAAACTATTGCATTCAAATTTACTTACCAGCTTCAAGCACTAGTAAACCTTTTTGAATTTCAATTCCAATTTCTTATCCACTTCTAGTGCACTCCAAGTATTCCAGGTCTAAATCAAGCTTCTCCATGTGCTTGAGAAGTCTTTTCCTTCTTTCCCACATGTTTAGCCTTCTGAATTGCAGACCCTGAAGGCACTAACTGCCCAGGTGCATTATGAATGGGAGCTTTCTGGTTCTTCTTCAACAGCTTCAAAGCCACTGTTTTCAGAGGAATCGTAATGTCTACAGGCAGAAGCACCTCTTCCAACTCGTGCCAGTCAAGATCCTCAGCATCACCATCTTCATACTCCACCCTATACCACCCAGTTTCCTTGTCAAACTGGATCACACTCCCATAATAATATTTTTCTCCAAACAGTTTTTGAACTTCCCTTCCTTCTAACCATTCACCACACCCTTTATCTTTCTGGGACTCACCGTCTTCCTTGTTGACATCAGACAGGACAAGGGTATTGCAATTTGGGTTTACTTCAGGCACCCCATTGATAACAACAGCTGGCTCTCCTGGTAACTCATATACCCCACACTCTGATTCTGCTCCCATAGATTTCTTTTCCATTTCAACCAGACTTCATCCAGAAAACTGAAAATTTAAACTAATTTGAGAAAAGAATGAGTAAATTTAGTAATTGGATCAGAAATTTCACCAAAAATATTCTGAGACTTTTGTAATTTTCTTGGGATTTTTCCCTCTCTTAAAAAAAATAGTGAAGAAGAAATAAAACCCTAACTGCTTGAGGGACCAAAGGAACGAGAGTCTGAAACTTAATGAGTTCTAATCGAGCATACTGTCCCTGCGATATGGCCACGAGGTAGAGTATTTTTCATTGTTATATTATATTTGTTTTATAATTAATATTTTAAATTTATTTTTATTTTTATTTTTATTTTTATTCTCATATATATTTAATAGATATAAATAATTTACTATTGTAGTTTTTAAAAAATCTATAAAAATAAAATTTTATTTTTTTATTTTTTATTTTTAATTTATATATTAAAGTAATTTTTTAAAATATTATTGATATATATTTTTTATAAAAATATATTAATTTTAATTAATATAAAATAATAATTTATATTATTTAAAAAATTATTTACTAATTATATATAAATATATATATAAGATACGAATACAGAATAAATATTATATTACTAATTCTTATATTCATATTAATAAAAATTTAAAATTATATTTTTTTATATTTATATCTATAATATAATATACGTATTCTTCCTTATTCAAATAAAAAATTGAATTTCGTTGTGTAAGATTGACATCCTACTTTAATAGTATGATTTAAGGTCATTGCCATGAAGTGGGCCTTGAAAAGTTTGAGGCCCTTTGTTTTTTTTTAGGCCTTTTCTTCTTTCCTTCGATCCCTCCAGGCCGAAAACATAAATGAACGGCATCGGACAAAAAACGGAAAGCAAAGAAATGAATGAGGACCGCAAACCCATTGTTAAACAAATTTACGTGGCCGTCAACCAAATTTCAGGAATTCCTCCTAACTCTATGCCCATCCAATTCCAATCTCAACTATGCTGCATACGGTCATCTCATCCAACACTTCACCAACCACAACTTCTCTCGCCAAGTCAAGCAACTTCATGCGCGCATCGTTCTCTTTTCAGTCAGTCCCGACAACTTCCTTGCTTCCAAACTCATTTGTTTTTATTCAAAAACCAACGGTCTTCCCCAAGCTCACCATTTGTTCAACAAAATTACCCAAAAAAGTACCTTCTCTTTTAACGCTTTGCTCATAGCTTATTCCCAACATGACATGTTTGCCGATACTATAAGATTGTTTTCGAGTTTTGTTAACGTTATTAGGCCGGATAATTTTACCATTACATGCTTATTAAAGGCCTTATCGGGTTCAGTTTCTGAGAAATGGTTGGCTAAGGAGGTTCATTGCTTTGTTTTGCGAGGTGGGTTCAATGAAGATATTTTTGTTTCCAATGGGTTGATCACTTACTATTCAAAATGCGAGGAATTTGGATTGGCTAGGAAAGTGTTTGATAAAATGGGTGAAAGAGATATTGTGTCATGGAATTCGATGATTTCTGGGTATTCTCAAGGAGGGTTTTATGAGGAATGTAAGGCCTTGTATAAAGACATGGTGGATAGTTTAGAATTTAGGCCTAATCGGGTGACTGTACTTAGTGTTTTGCAAGCGTGTGGACAGTCAAACGATCTTATTTTGGGAATGGAAATTCATCGGTTTATAGTTGAGAATTCGATCGAGATGGATGTCATGGTTTGTAATGCTTTGATTGCATTGTACGCAAAATGTGGGAGTTTGGATTATGCTAGTGAGTTATTTGATGGTATGAGTGATAAAGATGAAGTTACTTATGGCTCACTTATTTATGGTTGTATGTTTCATGGGTTCACTAACAAAGCTATGGAGCTTTTCCGCAAATTGAAACACCCTGTATTGAGTACATGGAATTCTTTGATTTCAGGTTTGTTTCAGAACAAACAGTATGATGGGATTTTGGATTTAGTCTTAGAAATGCAAGCGAGTGGTTTTAGACCCAATGCTGTGACGCTTTCAATCATTCTTCCTACCTTTTTGTATTTTTCAAACCTGAAAGGAGGAAAAGAGATACATGCTTATGCTGTTAGAAACAATTTTGACTGTAACATCTACGTTGTGACTTCCCTTATTGATACCTATGCAAAGCTAGGGTATCTCCTAGGGGCACAAAGGGTTTTTGATCAATCAAAATGTAGGAGCTTGATGGTTTGGACAGCAATAATTGCAGCATATGCTGCCCATGGAGATGTTAATGCAGCTCTAGGTTATTTTCATAAGATGCTTAATAATGGAATGCAGCCAGATCCTGTCACATTCACTGCACTGCTGTCTGCTTGTGCTCATTCTGGAATGGTAGATGAAGCTCAGAAGATCTTTGATGCCATGCTTAGAGGATATGGCGTTTCACATTCAGTTGAGCATTATGCTTGTATGGTAGGGGCTCTAAGCCGAGCAGGGAGACTTTCTGAAGCAACAGAATTTATTTCTAAAATGCCAATTGAACCAAATGCTAAGGTTTGGGGTGCATTGCTACATGGGGCTTCAGTTTGTGGTGATGCTGAACTTGGGAAGTTGATTTGTGATCATTTGTTTGAGATAGAGCCTGAGAACACTGGAAATTATATCATCATGGCAAACTTATATTCACAAGCTGGCAGATGGAAAGAAGCTGATATGATCAGGGAAAAAATGAGGAATGTTGGGTTGAAGAAGATCTCAGGCTCTAGTTGGATTGAAACTAGTGGAGGATTTGAAAGCTTTATTGCAATGGGTAGATCAAGTGAAAGAACTGAAGAGATATACATTTTGTTAGAAGGGTTGCTTCGTTTGATGAAGGAAGAAGGTTATACTTTGCATGATGAGTTTGATGAGGAGAATGTTTATGTTTGAACCTTGAATTTACACATCAGCATAATCATTGCAATTAGGATTACACTCAAGGACTAAAATGCACCCTTGAGGCTTTTATGGTTCAAGAAAAAAAAAGATTGTTGTGTCTCAGTGAAGAGATCAACTCATTATGACCTTGGCTAAGATGTTGAGGACATTGGATCCTTAATGCATTTCTCTTTTAATTCTAGCTGAAATTGATACTTCTAGGCTAAAGTGAAGAAGTACTTTCCAACTAAAATACTGTCACATGTAAGCTTTCTATTTTCTCTCCTGTTGCAAATTTATCTTTTGAACTTGATCTGAGCATTACTTTAAAACAATTTAAGCCTTTAATCATCACACCTTGCTGACATGGAAGTCTCCAGGATCATCTTTATTTGTTTGCTTGGTAGTCTTTGGAGGTTTGCTTTCTCTTATGCTAGTGGAAAACCTCTGCTTGCGCCTGAAGCATTCTACCATGCAAATTTGTTGACATAGTATTTTATTGACATCTTTCCTTTGGTCGTTCCCGGGTCCCTCATGTCACCTTTAGGAATTATGGAATATTTCCTGCTACTCTTCTAATGACTTTTTTACGAGTCACTCTTTTGAGTCATTTTTCAGTTGGTAACGTCCAAGATTAATATTTCTAGTAGTATTTGTTCTGTTGGCACTTTTTTTATTGTTTCACCATGGATCACTACTGTAAATACATGTTGATTTATAGACCCTTAACAGATTCTGTCATTTGGATGGGAAAAAAGACCTAACAAATATGCTTCGATCCACTAAATTTATTTCCCCAAGGCATTGGAGAATGGGGAAATGGGCTCATTTACCATGCAAGAAGAGAAAGAATTGGAATTTGTGAGTGTAAAGGGTGACAATTGACCGTGATGAGCGCACAACCTAGCCCTGTTCATGGCTGCTCAGTTCTACCAAGTTTTCCCTAGCTATAATTTTGCTTTCAACAGACAATAGGATGGAGCTTGAGGATATGGGTCAAGCTTTTCTTTTTCTCTTCTGCTTGTTTTATTGCTCATCAAGTTTGTCGAGATAATGAAAAGAAATCGAGTGTCAAAGGAGTTGAGCTGGACATAAACTTGAGGACAAAAAACCAACATTCCCAGCCCTTCCATTATAATGCTACTCAACCAACACTTCCCTATTGGATCCACACACATGTTTACCCAAACCTCTCAAAGCTCAATCAAATCCATATGTATAGATACAATTTTGTCCAAAATTTGGTGTCCTGGTATATCAATTATTGACTTTTTTCAGCTTTTTCTTTCACCCTAAAGGATGTTATATAAATTTCATCAACCTGAAAAAAAATTTACTAACATACATGAATATATGTAATATTCTATATTATATTCTTTATAAATGATTAAGAGTAAAAGCAAATATAAAATCTAAATTTAGAATTACAGTTTTATTATTTTTAATATTTAAAATTGTTAAAAAAAACTGAAATTAAACGTTAAGTATTTTATTGACAATTTTTTATTTATTCCCAATATTTCAATTATACTTTGTGTACAATAAAAATATAAAATTTTATTTAAAAATAAAATAATTCAGAGAATTTTTTAATATTTAAGCCAATTACAAAATACTCAAGATATTTGTTATCATTCACAACAATGGTAAATGTATTTGTATATAAATATTTCTCTTTCTCGATTTTGGTGGCTTAATATTGTATGGAAATGAATTAAAAAGAAGGCCAATATGTTGAACTTTCAGCCAAATTTTTCACATAAAAAGCTGCAACACTCAAAACTCCCAAGCACTTTAAAGTGAAATTTTGCGAAGCACACGATCCCATGATGATGGAAGAAGAGACAACCATGATGGCGGCACTATCCACCCTCCGCCCTTCTCAACTCGCAGATCTCAGCTGCTCCATCCTCTCCCTCTCTTTTCACCACCGACGCCGCCTTTGCTTCCTCCTATCCTCCCCTTGTCTTTTCTCTGTTACCCTCCATCACCTCCACTCTCTCTCCCTCCCACACAAAACACTTCTTATTGCCCGCCACCTCCTCTTTTCTCTCCACCACCTCACTCTCCACTTTCAGCCTCCGCCACTGCTGCCACTACACCCTTCCGTTGCCATGAAGAACCGTGACCTTGACGCTGTGCTCCTCCTCCTCTTTCTTTGTGAAACACACCAACATAACCCAGATGTCCTCGAGAGGCCTCATTCTGAATGGCGCAAAGTTTTAAGTAACCTATGCTCCGATACGATGTTAAAGATCACCAGTATTACTGGCATCTTTGATGGTGCCGCTTTGATTCCATATATTGAAATGGTAACGAGGTGTAGAAGGTTTGTTGGAATAATGGGTTGTGGTGCGAAGGAAGGGAAGGACGTGGCGGCATCACCTGCAGCGGTGGTGGCTCTGCCAGCAGTGGAGGTGAAAGGGGGTGGAGTTGAGTGTGTGATATGCAAGGAGGAGATGAAAGAAGGAAGAGACGTCTGCCAGTTGCCATGTCAGCACTTGTTTCACTGGATGTGCATATTGCGTTGGTTGAAGAAGAGGAATACGTGCCCCTGCTGCAGGTTTCAGCTTCCCTGTGACGATATATTCGGTGAGATCCAACGGCTGTGGGGAGTCCTGGTCAAGACGAGTGGCAAAAGTCCTGATGCAGAATGGACATGATTGAATAATGATGACACATGGGAGAATCTGGATATGGTGGACATGGAAGACATTAGATTTTGTTGGGAGATTTTGTCAGTGAATGGTTGAGATGAATTGGATGAGGATGATCACTTGTTTTCATGATAAAGACACATGTGGTTAGGTTCAGATAAGAGTCTCTTACAGATTTTAATTCTGTTATTATCTTTCATTATCAAAATTTATTCTTCTTCTTTTTTATGTATGCAGCAGAATAAACGTTGGAATTTTGCTGAAATTTAGAAGAAAGCAAGCCCTTAGTATTCATATTTACATTAAGAGATTGATTGCGAAAGTGAATAGATTCTAATATCTTTGATAATCAAATTTATTGTTAGTCAAATTGCATTTCTGTTGTTCTATGTTTAGCAGCAAATTACAAACATTGGTTTTTGCAGAACATTTAAGAGAAAGGAAGCCATTTGTATGCTTTTATTATGGATGGCATGCAAATATGGAATTATCAATCATCCTATTTGTATAAAATTCCAGAGTTATTTGTTCAAGACTTGAAGGGAAAGCTATAATTGTTGCAATAATTCTAAGAATTGCCTGGTGTGCTTATATCTAATCTACCTGGTTGGCTGGAGAGGTTTCATGGGCTTCAACAGCCTCAAGGAGACAATGTCAATAGGATGTTCGTGGCAAACTTGAGGCTTCAATATTGGCCACTAATTACCCAGAATTTTTTATTATTTTTCCAAGCACCTACGTTGAAGCCAGCTTGAACATATCGTATCAAACTGGTCCACCAGGCCCTGCTAGGACAAATTGATGGGTAGGAAAAGGTCAAAATCAACTCAATAAATTTAATTGGCCCACAATGGGAAGGCCCAACTCAGCTCTTGGTATTACACAGTACAGATCAAAGGTTAGAACATGTTCAAAAGTACCAAACTTGACTCTGCTAGCCTGCGTTGGTTAGGCCTTCTTCTCTTTTTTCAAAGTCCATAAAACCTCTCTGTCACCCAATCCTTGTGACATTTCTTTTCGAGTTATTTTCTAAATGCTACTATTTGCCTACTATAATATAAACTTTTTTCATTAGTAACTCAATCTGAATTTGAATTCTTAATTTTTCTTTATGAAAAATCATAGTCAAAGATAAAATAATTATAATATTATAATTTAAATTTTAAATCTGTTAAATATAATACTTAGAAGTGAATGTATCGAACTAAATCATAAATTTATTTCAACTCTTAATTTGTATATTATTAAATTGAACACTTCCAAGATATGATAATATAAAAATAAGTTGGATTTGGGTTCAATCTCATAATCAATCTGTCATTGTGTTATATATTTGAACATAATATAATATGCAAAAAGTAAGTAAAAAATTAAATATACATGTGAAGAACTAATTCAACTTAAGATTGGACAGTCATATTTTTATGGGATGAAAGAATGCATTTCCTAAAATAATTGGCCCTACTCATCAAGGCTCAAATAAAGGAAAACAATGAAAAACAGTGGTCCATTTCATGACAATGAGTGTGCTTAAAGCCGTAGCATTTGGCCATTTATATAATTATATTCATCACAAAGGGAAGCAAGCTGGGTACGGAAAACTAGAAATAAATAAACAAATAAAATACTAGTCAAACAATGAAACAACGCTAGAGCAATATCAAGTGCCAGGGTGCAAAAATTGGGTTTCTTTGAGTGAAGTGCAAGCCAATGTTCCCATCCTCTAAAATCATAATCGTGTAATTATGCCTTACTTCTATAATTTTTTATGATTTTAGTGTGTGTATATATATATATATATTAATCATTTCCAACTTCACTTGTCACCATGCCTTTGCTTATCTTTTGGATTATATTATTGGCTCAAAGTGAAGAAGTTTGATTAAGAAAAGGTTTGATTCATCTTCTAAATATATCATTAAGCTATAATGAATTCTGATAATTTGCTAAGAATTGTAAATTGAAAGGACAATTGTATTCGTTGTTTTTTGTTTGAAAAAATTGGAGGATAAATAGGTTGTTTTTCATAGGAGAAGAAGATGTGTTATTGGATTGCTAAGATGGTGTTGTCCTCAAACTACATTTAAGATAGCACCAATGAAATATCATAAGTGAGATTCGAATTCAGATATTGCATTCAAAGAGATTGAATGAGCTCAATCAATTAAGTTAATCCATTGATGGCCAATTTCATTCATTTTCACTGCAGAAAAAAGTGTACATACTAAATTGTCATTATATATATATATATATATATGTAAGTTTTTAAAAAAGAAAAATTATATTAAATAAAAAAACTGATAGAGGACTTAGAAAATGGCTTTTCTTTACAATAAAAAAAAGAAAAAGAAAAAGTGGTAAATGTACAATAAGAGAACAGAAAACACAGTCGAAGGAGAAAGATATTTCAGGGACATCACGTGACAGATTCCGCTGCAAAGGCATGGCATTGGCAACTCGTGATGTTATTTCAAAATTTGAAACCATTGAAATATTCCCCGGGCTACTTGCTATATTCAATAAATGCTACATACATACCTCTCCATCCGTCTGTCCACATCTGTTGATCTTGTGGTGGTAAATAAAACTGAAATTTGTCTTTACTGATGGGGTTTGTTTAATCATCTTTTTTTTTTTTTTTGGTCAATTTGGAAGTATATAACCAGATAAAATGTGTGGAAACTAAAACAAATCAAACAAATCGAATGAAGAATTATGTTAAGGATGAATATGTGCAAAACATCATGATTTGGTTTGTGATCATGATGTTGTGGTGGAAAAGATAAAATGAAGAATTGTGAATATTACTATTATCTGGTTCTAATGGCCTTAACTGGCTATTATATTTAATTATTGGAAGTCTGCAATTAATGCAGATCAAGGCTTCTAACTCCTCCACAATTAGTACAACACTGGAATTTTAAATGTAAATGTCTGCCCCCAGCTAAGAGTGAATGAGTATAGACTAGATATTCTATAATTGTAAATGGGGTGTTAATGGAGGAGTACAAAACTTTACTCCAAAAGAATGGATCACAGAAATGTTAGGTTAGTTGATACAGATTTCCATTGACTGATGTATGTGAAAAACTGTTGATTATAATTTATGACATTGTTTGCTCTCATTCTCACAATCCTTATTTTGTAGTAAGAAGAAAAAAAATACACAATTTGTATAATGACAAAAGTGGTGTCACAAAGTTGTAGCAGTGCAGAAAAACAACAGCCATACTCTTATTTTGGAGGATAGATATAAGCCACCTGAGTAGATTAGAAAGAGTTCAGGCCTCGACCTTGGATTTCCAACATCGCTAGCTACGTGAGTCTTTTGTTTTTTCATCAGCAAAGATTCTTCTTCCCAAGGGGAAAAAGAAGATTAAATTCAAAAAAAAAAAAATGAAGGAAGAAGAAGTTGGCATTTTTGTGCGAGTTTCTTAGTGAGTGAGCTCTGATCTGTTGTGTTCATAAAAGGGTAACTGAAGTAGAGGTAAGATTTTAGTGTTTTGGTGCACTGACATTGAAGAATCAAGCTCGTCTTTGCAAGAATTTCCGTGACAGGTTAAAGTCAAGATCATTGCAAATGATTCCTTGCCGCAAGGAAGACAGCAAATGGAGGTGGGTTCCTCTTTTTTTCGCTAGTTGTTGTTGTCACTACTTCATAATGTAAAATGGGTTCTTTTTGTTTTCTCATCTCAGTGAAAAGAAGATGGAAGGAGATGATGGATTGAGGACTGTGGAGTGCTTGAGAGGAAGGCTTCTTGCGGAGAGGCAAGCTTCAAAGACTGCAAAAGAAGATGCTGAACTTATGGGCAATAAGGTCAGGTTTTGTTCTATCAATTTAGGTTTTAAACCATTAATTTCATTATGCTAAACAAAAAGATCTGAAATTTCTGTTTGCTCTATTTTGTTGTTCTTGAACTGCAGCTAATAGAACTAGAGAACAAACTCAAAGAAGAGACCAAATTAAGGAACAAAGCTGAGAAGAGGCTCACGTTACTGAGGAAAAAACTGCAGGCCCTCAAAATATTGCCTAGTTTGGAAGAATCAGAGCAGTCAAGTTCTTCCGACCACTGTGCAGTTTCTAGTGATTCATCTACAAGTAGTTCAGGTACTAAAGTCCCAGAAGAATCTGTTTCCAAGTCTCAAAATGCAGTTCCAGAAACCTCAAAAGATAAGGAGGAAAATGCATTATCAGACACCACTACTTCTATAAAAAGCCTTGAAATTTCTTTCAGTGAAGAAAATTCGAATTCTGCAAGGACTACAAAATCTGATACAAAAGATTCAAGCCATCAAGATCCAAAGATTGATGATACAAGGTACCCCCTTTGATTCCCACATTTCCCACATTGTCCTATTGCATTTGCTTAACCCTTTGATTCCCACATTTCCCCGATTGTCCTATTGCATTTGCTTAATTGTTGCTAATATAATATAATTAAGTTAATTTGATCACTTTATTACCATTGATTTCAGTTCTTCAAGCTTGAAAGATTCAACAATGGAGTCTGATATGAATGAAAGAAATGAGAATCATGAGGAAGATGATTGTGTTGATAACTCAATGGCATTGGTTCCTCTGAAGCTACCAGAAAACAAGCTGGCCCCTGAGATAAAGATAGTCAGCAAAAGTATAGGTGAAGTTCTTGATACTTTAAGGCATGCGAGGGAAAGAATTCAGAGCTCAATGGAAAGAAGACAAATGATTAGAGTTGGGCCATCATGAAATCATACAAGTAAACAGTGATTATTGTCCCATTTAGATAATAAAACAGAAAGTGACAGATGTTCTTTTCATGCATTGAAGCTAAATGGTGAGACAAATAATGTGAAAGTTGCATAATGTCGCTTGCAATTTTATTGCCTTAATCAGATCGTTCGGTTGGTATTAAAAGTTCTTCACTAGCATGTGATGTGGGGATGTGAGTGTGACCCTCCCTTTGGTACATTGACTTGAGCCCCTAAGAATCATCGAATATTTAACTTTGAGATACTAGTAACTTGATCAATTGATTTTTTCTCAAATTAATGATGTAAATGTGATGAAAAGTATATAGTTTAAGCAATGGCTTTGAATTAGGCCAAACAAATGTTACTTGTAAAGTTTGGAAAGAAAAAATTCCATGTTGAAAGTTAGAAAGGTCTTTTAACAATACTCCATGTGTATAGAGCAAGAGAGCAAAGCAGTGCAAGATTTTTGACCTGAGTAAGTGTTGCTGATTAAGCTTGCTTTTGCGTGGTTGAGAGTGTTGGGACCATAGATCTAACTCCTATCAGCTATTTCATTGTGATTTTGTGAGCGATTGATGGCTCATGCCTTTAACCTTGAATGAATGAATCACTCAATCAATCAAGGCTAAACTAGCTGGAAAATCTTACTATTACAAATCCTTAATTTTCTTGAAAAGCTGGAACATGCCAGCTTAATTGATACTTAATAAAGTTTTTCCTTAAACGAA